CATTTAATTTCCACTTTAATTCTTATTTTATGTCTTCAACTACTTCTTCTTTTTATTTTTCTATGACAATGATTATGAGTAGCTAGATTTTATCTATGGTTGTGATCCAACCCTAGTGTGTAAAACTTATGGGTATTTAATATTAGTGCTTGTTAAGGATTGGGTGGATGTTATTTAGCCTTGTTTATGCTTTATATCTAGAATTAATGGTTGCAAATATTTTATGCCTAATTGACTTAGTTCTTACTTGAGAAAGAAGAACTTAGCCTACGAAAACTTGGCTAACAAGAAATTGAACTAGTTGAAGTTTTGATTAATTTGATTAAAGGATTTGAACTAGAGATAGGGATAATACAACTTGGACTCATAATCAATTGTTTTGATTGCTACCCATTTAGTCTTGAGAAAGCCAATTTGGGCGTAATTACTCTTAAATCGAGAGGTCTTGAGTGGGTAATTGAGCATTGAGAGTCATAACGAAGCCCGATCTACCAAGAAAGCATAGATTTACTCTACCGATTAGGTTTAAACGTAGGTTAAGGTTACAACCCTAGGCTTTTCCCTATTGGATAAAAACATCAAAAATATTTCAAAGATTATTTGCTTATCAGTTAGTTAAATCTCTTAGATGTTAATTTAGATATCAGTTACCAACTTTGTTTGAAAGCTAAATTTGATTATTTCGAGTTCTTTTCTTGAGTGTTTACCTTAACACCACTTTAAAATCCCTGTAGATTCGACCCTAACTCGTGTTGGGTATTATTATTGTAACAACTGTTTCATACTCCTTGATTGGGTATGAATTGGACGTGATCTATTTTTGGCGTCGTTGCCAGGGATTTTACGGTGCTAGCTATATACTTGAGTTTGTTTCTTAAAGTATGTTATGGCACAGTAGGGTAACACATCCTACCCCTACCCCAACACCATCATTGAGTACTTGACTGACGCCAAGGTGGAGCCCAGGACATTTGACATGAAGGTCAAGCCAACTGGTCCTTTTGAGTGGTATAAGTTGCAAGACCCGAGGAACCCAAAGAAGAGCACTCGGCCTCCTACTACTGTTGGCCAGTTTCATGAGCCGGTAGTCATAGCCCCTGGTTCCTCTGAGATCCCTTCTACTTTAGATGAGCCTTCCACCAGTGCTAGAGCTACCATTCCTGAGCCTTCTTTAGTCCCTGCTTCATTGCCTACTCCAGCTCCGAGGCTGGTGCCTTTGCCTTCAAGCCCATTGTCTGCTTTGTGGGTCTCTCAGACATTATTGAGCCTTAACAACTGGATATAGACAGCTACTTCAAAACTATCTGAGATCTCTAGAGCAGTTGCAGGGAAGACATCTTCACAGACACAGCTGGACCGTTCTGACATTGACATGAAGCTCACCAAGGTCTTGGACAACCTGAAGGTGATTATGGATTGACTCACGAGTGAGGTTTCTATCATATCTGAGGTCGGCGACTTGCCATTTAACATGATACTGGATACCACCCAGCCTCACCCAAGTCAGCCTTCTCATGAGGATCCCGCTGCTCAGCTTAAGGAGCCCTGCCTTGCATCCAGCATTGCTGCTGCGGTGCTTGATATGTTCAGCTCTTAGGCAGTTCCCGCATAGAATGATGACACAGTTTAGCTAGCTGAGCAGGCTGGGACTGATGGTGCTGGTGACACTGTGATGACAGAGGACCCTTAGGGAGTTTTCTCTCCCCTCTCTGCTCTTTGATCTTATTTTGCTAAGCATTAGGGACAATGCTTCTTTTATTTTGAGGTAGAGAATTTTATATTTGATGATTTGACACATTTGATGACATCGGGATGTAATAATTGGATGATTTGATTTTGTTTATCTTTAGTAATTTGTTACATTTAGTAGTATCTTTAATTTTGTTTGTTTTGGTAGTTTAAATTTTATGCTTTTCTTTCTATTGTTGATAATAAGTCTTTGGTTTTCTTAATTCTACGGTTCTTTTCAAAGTTGGTTTCTTGTGTGAACCGGGTGACTCTTCCCCAGAATAGATAGTATGACAACTTTCTTAAGGGAATCAGTTTATTTTATGTTTAGGTAATAGTAGTAGTAAATAGTAATGAATAAAAGCCCTAATCAAGTTAGTCTATGAAAATGAGTCATTTATACTTCATCTGGCACCAACATACTTATCTGCATGCCTATGGTTTGAGACAAGGTTGTTATGAGTCATTTTTGAAAGAAGTAGCTTTAGTGAAACTAACTTTGAGGTTCTTGAGTTGTCTTTGATAATTATTAGGTGGTTGAGTGGACCATAGTGATCTTTAACTTGACTGTGATTGTTGTGGGTTTTAGACTCTGTCCTCTTTTACGGTCTACTTGCATGAGAGGTAAGATGAAATTTTGTTGCTAGTCCAAGTACTTGAGTGAATAGTCTAGAACTTGCCTCATATGTGCTTCATAGCGATATTCTAAGTTTGCTTGGTTTGAAAGATGATTGTAGGATTTTCTTAGAACTTTGAGCTTTCTATTGCCACCTTATGATCGTTATCCCTAGTCAACCCCATTGATAATTTAGCCTTTCTCAATTGATAATCATGCTATAAGCCTTTACCCGTTTTTTATCATAATCCTCTCTTGGCACCCAAACCTTCCTTGGCACTTATATGTAGTAAGTGGCTCAAAGCCTAAGTTTGGGGGAAAAGTTGACGAATCTAAAAGAGGTATCAAGGAATTGAAAAGAGAGAAATGAAATGATCACCATGAAAGAGAAAGTAAGAAAAGAAAGAACAAAAAGAAACACAAAAGGGGACAAAAAGGAAGATTGATGAAATTAAAGTGAGGCAAATACCTATAGTATAAACATCAAGGGAGAAAAGAATGAAATTGTCAATAAAGAGTGATGACAAGTCTCTCTCTAGCCCCCAATAAAAAGCAATCTAAGGGTGTGGCAAATATAACCCAAGAAATAAGATGTGAAGTGCTTAAGAAAAGGTGTAACCACTTGTATCTCATATAGTATCCTACCCCGATCCAAAATCCCTCATTACAACCCTAAAGAAGTCCTATTTGATTTTGAACCGAGTAAACTTACATTAGTGAAGATTTACATGAGGGGCAAGTCTATAGTACTTGAAGCTTTACTTGTGACATTCCTTTGTGAGAGAAGAGTGAAACCTTTATTGCTCTAGACATTAAGCGTTAAACCTTGAAGTGAGCATGGCAAATGGAAGGTAGTAGAGGTAGAGTTTGGAATCCACCATGATTTACATTAAAGAACAAGAGTCCTTGATGAATGAAGTCAATTCTTGAAGCTCAAATGTCATACTAGAGTTACATGCAATTTGAACATTTTTGAAAGTTTTGACACCTTGTTTAGAATGCATGAGTATTGTGGGTAATTATTGGTCCCAACTGAGTATAAATGACTTATAGGTGACTCTTTGAAATGAACTTTCACTGAAGGAAAAAGGAAACTAATCTATTTGCTTGAGCACAAGCAAATACTTAAGCTTCGGGGAGTTGATAAGTGTGAATTTTAATCACTTATTAGTACCTTCTTGCTTTAATTTTTAGTCCGAAAGTAATGATTATTGTCTTCGAATCTAATAAAAATATGTGAATTGCAGGTATGTTAGAGAATGTGAGCTCAACAAAAAAATCTAACTCAAAGAGGAGATATTCCAGCTCAAATAGTGAAGAGGAGAAGTGCAAAGAATAGTGCGGTCTGCAAAATTCCATTTGCGGCTGCAAAAGTAAATACGGCCCGCAGAAGGAGCTCTGAAGCTTTAGAGGATTTTGGCATCAATGCGGTCCGCACACCAAAAAGTGTTGTTGCAATTGAAGTCCACACTGTCAAGACTGAGAGATAAGAGAAGATGCAATAGAACAAGTCTGAAGCCTCCTCAAAGTGCGGTACGAATCAAAATTATGCAGTCGTAGAAGCTGAAGTGCGGCCGCAGAAGCTTACGCGCGGCCGCAAAATCCCTTCAACTTAAAGCACCTGCAAGAGCAACATCCCAAAGTGCGGATCGCAGATGAAATTTTGTCACCGCAGAAACCTCCGAAGGGTATTTTTGTTAGAGAATTTCAGAGCACTATAAATAGACGAACAATACTTTTTTAGGGAATTTGTGTAGTGTAGCAGCAGCTAGAGGTTATCTTTAGCCATTTTGGGCAATTTGTGACTACAATTAGAGAAGACCCATTTACTTTTCATGTTAATTCTAGTTTTATATTTTCAATTACTTCTTCATTTTATTTTTCTATGTTAATGATTATGAGTAACTAGATTTTATCTATGGTTGTGATCCAACCCTAATGTGTAAAACTTATGGGTGCTTAATATTAGTGCTTGTTATTGATTGGGTGAATGCTATTTAGCCTTATTTATGCTTTATATCTAGAATTAATAGTTGCAAATATTGATTCATGCCTATTTGACTTAGTTCTTACTTGAGAAAGAGGAACTCAGTCTAGGAAAACTTGGCTAACAAGAAATTGAACGAGTTGAAGTTTTGATTAGTTTGATTAAAGGATTTGAACTAGAGATAGGGATAATCCAACTTGGACTCATAACTAATTATTTTGATTTCTACCCATTTGGTCTTGAGAAATTTAATTTGGGCATAATCACTCTTTAACAGAGAGGTATTGAGTGGGCACTTGAGCATTGAGAGTCATAACAAACCCCGATCTACCAAGCAAGCATAGATTTACTCTACCCATTAGGTTTACACCTAAGTTAAGGTTACAACCCTAGGTTTATCCCTATTTGATAAAAATATCAAAAATATTTCAAACATTATTTGCTCATCAGTTAGTTAAATCTCTTAGAAGTTAATTTAGATATCAGTTACCAACTTTGTTTGAAAACTAAATTTGGTTATTTCGAGTTCTTTTTTTGAGTGTTTACCTTAGCACCACTTTAAACTCCCTATGGATTTGACCCCAAATCGCGTTAGGTGTTATTATTGTGACGACCATTTCATACTTCTTGATTGGGTACAAAGTGGACATGATCAATAGGTTCCAAAGAATGGACACAATTTCAAGGAAGCATGTGATGCCTTTGAAGCTTGAGGTCAAAATCTTCTATGTTTGGGGAATAGACTTCATAGGGTCATTTAAATCATCAAATGGCCATAGGTACATATTGGTTGCAGTTGATTATGTGTCAAAGTGGGTGGAAGTTGTAGCTTTGCCTATGAATGATGCTAAGGTGGTGGTGAATTTTGTGAAGAAAAATATTTTCACGAGATTTGGTACTCCGTGTGCTTTGATTAGGGATGGAGGTACTCACTTTTATAACAAATTATTGGGAAATCTCTTAGCTAAGTACAAGATGAAACACAAGGTCACAACTGCCTATCATCCGCAAACCAGTGATCAAGTTGAGGTTTCAAATAGGGAGGTGAGAAATTTTAGGAGAAGACAGTGAGCGCGAGTAGAAAGGATTGGGCTAACAAGATGGATGACGCTCTATGGGCATATCGAACTGCATACAAAACTCCAATTGGCAATTCGCCGTATATGTTGGTTTATGGGAAGGCTTGTCACTTGCCCGTTGAGCCTGAGCACAAGGCATATTGGGCAATCAAGAATCTCAACTTTTATATGGATCTAGCTCAGTAAAAATGAATGTTTCAACACAATGAGCTCGAAGAGTTTCGATTTCACGCATATGAGAATGCAAAGTTGTATAAAGGGAAAATAAAGATATGGCATAACAAACATATTTTTCATCGTGAATTTGAACCAGTTCAAGTCGTTCTATTGTTCAATTCAAGGTTGAAGCTCTTTCCTTGGAAGCTCAAGTCTAGATGGTCGGGGCCATTTGAAGTAGTACGGACTATGAAGCATGGAGCTATTGAACTACGGGATCCTGAAAGTGATGGCACATTTTTAGTCAATAGGCAAAGAGTTAAACACTATTAGGGTGGTGGCGTTCGTCGTCACAAAATTTCAATAGACTTGGTGGATGCTTGAAGGAACATTTTGTGTCATGCCGCAACGTTAAATCAGGCGCTTCATGGGAGGCAGCCCATTGTGATGCTGTATTCGTCATGCCATGACGTTAACTAAGGCGCTTAATGAGAGGCAATCCAGCTTTACTACTTTCTTTTTTTTTGTTTATTTTATTTTTCTATTAATTTTTTTGTGTTAATTTAATTTGTAGGATTATGAGCATAGGAAGCGAGGCCATAAGATGTGTAATAGCGAGCTAGATGGTTAGAACTAAGTGTGGGGTGTCCTCACAAAAGATCAGACCTGAGGGAAGTCTGAGTATCTCGTGACCCGCGATTGCTCCGCCTTTGGCCTTTCAGGGAGTTTCTTTTTTTTTCATCCTCTATTGTTGATTTTATTTATGCATTGGGAACACTGCACTCTTTTAAGTGTGGGGTGGGAGAATTCTTTTAGATAATTAATAGTAGTATATTAGTAAAATATTAACTACTTATTTTAATTTTTAGCTTCAAGTTTTTGTTTTTGTAGTAGTGTAGTATTGGTAGCTGAATGTTTTTTCTTTGTCAATCATCAAAATCTATACCGTTTAGGTCAACAATTTTTTCCTTTTTGATGATGACAAACTCTGTAATTTTCAGAAGTATGGAACCTATTTCAACTCAGCTCAACATCAAACACGATGTCAGAACACTTTCCATTTTAAAGTCACAAATCATTAGGGACCAGGTTCATTAGGTTATAAACATCACACTATAAAGCAAAAGAACACCTTATCTTCCCCCTTTTAGCATCATCGAAAAGTTGCATAACTAAGTCAAGTAATCAGATTTTAATAGATATCACTCACCTCCACTAGGGCTACTTCAAATACAATCATGGATTTAATTTTCTCTTTTTCAATCTAAGGATATTAGCCATCTAAGAAATACCAACTAACAGTTAGAGCAAAAGCAGTGAATTTCATTTATTGATAAGATCCTACCACAAAGCATAATAAGAAATAAAAACATAGAACCATGAGCAAAAAAATAGAGAAATCCTTGGAGTCACTGGTTACAAACTGGGCTAGGAAGGGTTTAAGATTGGGAAGGACCGGGTTCTTGGTTCTTGGCCTGAAGTAGTTTCAGCATATCTTGAAAATTTTCGTCATTCTTATCCTTCTCTTTTTCTAACTTAGCCTTGAGAAAATTCCTCTCAACTTCTACTTTAGCAAGCCTTTTCTGCAGCCTCACAATCTCAAAATCCTTCATTGTTTTCTTCCACTATTTGAGCCTTCTTGCTCTTTTTGACATCTGGTTTTTTTAGACACAACTGAGCCCTTTGCCTCAGCCTCTATTTCTTGAGAATTCTTTTGATATGTCTTTCTCTTTTTGGCACTAGGTGTGGGTACTTCCATATATTATTTTTCATCTTCATGAACCAGGTTCATCTCCTCAATCTGGACTACTCCACTTGGTTTACCAACCTTTTTCTTTCCTTTCGAAAGGACTTTCTTAGCACTCAGCTATGGCCTTTTTTTATTGGCCTCACTATACTTCTTCTGGCTCCTTGTAGTACTTCCTCTTATGGGAGGAGTTGTTATAGGAATAGAAGGAGCAGCCTTTCTCTTAATGCTACCTATACCCTTTCCTGGAGTCTTTCCAACTTTGCTCTTTTTATTTGGATTGTAACTACCTGATACCTTTTGCAGCAGATCATGAAGGGGCTCTTGTCAATTTTTAGCAAGAGAAGGAAATGGTTCATAAAATCATTTCCTTAACCTAACCTACCTCTCTATTACACTTCTATCACCAGAACCATCACCTATCTCCTATAATTTTATCTTCATACTTTCGTCAGTCTCCTCATTATCACTAATCTTTTCGCTCCATACAACTATTGCCCTTGTTTCTTCATCTAACCCAATACGACTGGGTGAAGTAGATCCAGCCACTCGTGCTTCTTCCCTTCGCCTCACATCTGCCTCAACACCCTCACTCTCTTTTTCTTTTTCTTTTTCTTTTTCTTTTTCTTTTTCTTTTTCTTTTTCTTTTTTTTTCATTTTTACCACCAATATATTTAGTACCAATATCTCCAGTTTCTACACTGGCAATAGATCCAACTAGAAAAAAATGATTCTTAAGATTTTCTACAGTTTTTGAACCAACAGTAGAATATTTTAACTTAGAAATTACCTATTCAATTTCAAACAAAACTGGTTCTTCCTCCTCGATCGCAGACAGGAAAGAATCATTAGAATTTTGTTATTCTTCTGCTTGACTAGCCTTCAATTTCTCATTCAACTTCTTTTCTATTCTCTGCTTGCTATTGTTTTGCATGCTATCATTTTCACATATTTTTCCTTAGGGGTTTTGGTAGTTGAAGATATGGGTGAAAGTTCTTTGGGCAGCGAAGAAGGATTCTTAGAGTTCTTAGGGTTCTCAGGTGTGTTATCCATCTGATCAGTTTAAAACGAGTTTGGGATAAAGTGGGACACATTTTCAGATCCTGATTCTTTAGCAGTTATTTTTACTTATGCGGAGTGTAGAATACATACCTTATAAGTTGGATGAACAAGGTTCGTCACTAAAAGTTCTCTTGTGTAAGACTAAATTTTTCAAGAAATAAGGATAATATCATTAGACATCAATGAGACATTTAATACATGGAACAACAGTATACTGATAAAAGTATGAGACTGAGCAATATCTAATCTGATTATTTATAAAATTCATAAATTATATAACCAATCATTGAATTAGAATTAATTTTTTGTAGATAATCTTAATCATCCCTAATTCTAACATGTTCCTCTAAAAGTAATCCCTACTCAAAGCTTTTGTGAAGATGTCAGGAATTTGCTTATTAGTAGCACAGAATTCCACCATGATCAACCCCTTCTCAAATTTATCCCTTAGAAAATGATGCCTAACATCTTTGTGCTTAATTCTTTTATGATGGACCGGGTTCTTGGTCATACTGATTGCACTAGTATTGTCACAAAAAATAGTTATACAACCTACATCTATTCCAAAGTCCATTAATTGTTATTTAATCCATAATAATTGAGCACAACATGAGGCCGTAGCCACATACTCAGGTTCAGCAGTAGATAAGGTCACATAATTATACTTTTTGATGGCCCAAGATACAAGACATGAGCCAAGAAAATGTGCCATACTTAAAGTACTCGTTTTATCCACAAGAAAACCTGCATAATTAGCATCAATATATCTCACTAAATAAAAATTACTACCTTTTGGATACCATAGGCAAATATCAGTTGTGCCTTTTAAGTATCTCAAGATACTTTTGACTGCCTTTAAGTAAGACTCCTTTGGATTTACCTAAAACCTAGCATAAAGGCCTACACTAAAAACAATGTTAGGTCTACTAGAAGTAAGATATAATAAAGATCCAATCATTCCCCTATACATTTCCTAATCAATAGATGAACCAAGTTCATCCAAATCCAGTTTTGTAGTTGTTGCAATGGGAGTGCTAATTGTTTTGGAATATTTCATCATTGTTTTGTTGCTGAGAAACAGGTTCATGGATAGGTTCCTTCGAGGTTTGAGGATCAGTTCCTCTCTGGTCAATTCCCCCTGCCAGGTTGCTCAGGGTGGAAGGACTTGTTCCATCACATATTTGTTCCTGTGATGCAGCTTCAGGCTGGAGTGTGGTTTCATCATTTGAATTTTTTATCAGCCCAATCTTTTCATCATCTTGTTCCTGCCTCTCATAAAGAATATTAATTTCATCAAAAGCAACATGTACACTTTCTTCTACATACATAGTTATTTTATTTTATATATTATATGTTTTACTATGTGAAGAATATTCCAAGAATACTCCCTCATCACTTCTGGGATCAAACTTTCCTGGGAGTCTTTTCCACTATTATGAACAAAGCACTTGCATTCAAATGCCCTAAGATGGGTTATATTTGGTTTTCTCCCTTTAAGTAACTCATAGGGAGTTTTCTCAATAAGAGGTCTAGTCATGCACCTATTTATGATATAGCATGCAGTGTTCACAGCTTCTGCCTAGAAGCTATGATGCAACTTACTAGCAATTAACATGGTTCTAGCCATTTTCTCCAAAAACCTATTCTTTCTTTCAACTACTCCATTTTGTTGTGGAGTTCTAGGAGTAGAAAAATTATGATCTATTCCACGCTCATCACAAACTTCAGAAAACTTAGCATTCTCAAACTCAGTACCATAGTCAGACCTAATTGATGCAAGTTGGTTACCTAGTTGTTTTTGAGTTTTTCTAACAAATGAAGTGAACATGTCAACTGCTTCATATTTAGATGTTAAGAACAATGTCCAAGTAAATCTAGAGTAATCATCAACAAGCACTATTACATGTCTCTTATCATATCAGCTAATTATCCTCATTGGTCAACACAGATCTATATGGACCAGTTTCATCGACCTGGTAATACTCACCACTTTCTTACTTTTGAAAGAAGATCTTACCTGCTTCCCCTTGCACAAGCCTCGCAAACTTTATCTTCCTTGAACTTAATGTTAGGCAGCCCTATCACCAAGTCCTTAGAGACTAGTTTGTTGAGTTGACTTATACTAGCATGTCCAGGTCTCTTATGCCAAAGAAGACGATCACTGTCCATGACACTCAAGCAAGTGAGTTCATTATCTGAAAGTGTGGACAGATCCACCACATATATATTGTTCACTCTTTTTCCCTGCAAAATTATTTTTTTAGTGGTAAGATTAATCATAATATATTTTGTGGAGGTGAAAACTACCATGTTTCCTCTATCACACAGTTGTGAGATACTTATCAGGCTGTATTTCAGTCCATCTATCAAGTAGACATTCTCAATTGAGTGAGAATCAGATTCACCTACCTTCCCAACTCCAATGATCTCACCTTCTTTTCCATTCCCAAAGGAGGCATTACCTCATTTAAAGGTCATAAGTGAAAGGAACTGGTTCTTGTTTCATGTCATATGCGTTGAGCAACCACTATTCATGTACCATATTTGGTTGTTCTCCTTCACTTGGACATGAAAAAAGAAATCAGGGGTTAGTCTTAGGAATTCAAACTAGTTTGGATCCCTTTCTATAGGTAAAAGGATAAATCAGATTTTTCTTTGCCCAACTTGGCATCCTATTCTTTCCTAGAACAAACTTTTTGTTCCTTAGTGTCACGTCCTTAGTCTTGAACTAAGCGCATGTGCGGCACTTGACAACTTGGTTACAATCTTACATAACTCGGTTACGATCTTGTTGTGCCAACTCAGCCTAAAATACAACACTC